TTTGTAGAAAATTGTCTAATTTATTTAAATAACTTCAAAAAACAATCAGTAACATTAATAAACTATCTACTTAATCACCCAATTCATCGGCAAATTACCAAAAGCTCTCTTTAATTTGTTAAAAAAATGACAAAAAACCATAAAATACAACAGGTCTATTCCAAGGAGTATAAATGAATAACCCCAAGTGGAATATTCGAAGCTTATTTGTTTAAAAATTAAATTATATTTTTTTTTATCTTATAAATAATTTATCTTAACAATTATCTCATGGTGGAGTGCATAGATGTGAAAGCTGGATAGTATTGGTCGATTCAACCGGAAAATCGGTCCTCACACTGGTACGATACGATAATTATACCGATTATTTAATTATATATGTCAAAATCAATTAAAACTGGTTAAAACCTATCATACTGACCATTTTTTTATTTAAACCGTCTCATTTAAAATTATAATTTTATATGCAAGTCACTTAATTTTTATCAAATAAAATAATATTATGGAAGATTTAATACATAACAACTAAACATGTTACAATCAAACTATTGGATGGTTGGTTCAAATATTTTTATCATTAATTTACAAATAAAGTCTTATAATGCTTGTTTTTTTATCGACATAAAACACATCAGTTTATAAATCTTCTTCTACTTACATTGGTATCAGAGCCAGAGAGAGAGAGCAGTGTAGAAATGAGAAAGAAGTGCAATTAGCATCATGGCTACTGACAATTTTGTGCAACCAGTCATTCCACGCTTTGATAGTCACTATGAGCACTGCAACATGTGGATGGAAAATCTCTTAAGGTCTAAGGAGTATTGACAAGTGGTCGAAGATGGTGTTGCAACACTAGAAGAAGGTACTGCTGCACAACACAAAAAGCATGATGCAATGAAATTGAAAGACCTAAGAGCAAAAAACTTCTTATTTCAAGCCATTGACCACTCTACTTTTGGATTATTTTTTCAAAACAAAATAAGTTTATAATTTTATTTGGTTGTTAAACATACATAGTTTATATTTCCAACTTATTTTTCAAAAAGTGAGTACAACCTTAAATAAAAATCAATCTCCAACATGCTATAAGTCTCTAACTTTTGGATTTAGTATTTTCATAAAGTTTTTTTCCAAAGTTTTAGTAATATTTAATTTCTTATCAAAATATCATTCTTTCATTAATTGATTAAAAATAAAAATATTTTAATTAATTGAATGAAAAGACATATAATGAGTCTCATAATTAAGACCAAGTTTATAAGATTATGTATATTTAATCTGGTAAATAAAATTAGTTTGATTAATTAATGTTTGGTAATATAAATCAAGTGTGCAAAAAAAACAACATTTCTAATTAATACTTATTTCCTAAAGAGAGAAACAAAATGAAAAAAATTAAGTGACAATGAAACTGCGACTAAGCATGTGTTTAGTATAGATTATATTTTTAGTTTTATTTTATAAACGGTGAGGTTATAATCTCTTAAGGTTATAATTTGTTTATGTTTTGGTGACTTATGTGAAAACTGAATATAAACTAATCTATTTTGTTTGGGTAAGGTAACAAAATTATTTTACAAAGTAAATAATAGAAAATGACATGAGGTTATTTGTTTATGTTATTATTATGTTTTGTTTATTTTTTAACACTATTTTTTAAATACATTTTTTTAATAATTATCATCATATACATTTTTACTATAAATTTTTTAATTTTTAATATTGCATAACAAATGCTAAATTTTTTTAAAATAAAATACAATATAACGCACAAATAAATGGAAGTTAATAAACTTGAATTAAATAGTTCACAAAATAAATAATACATAGACAATATTTACCTAACAAACAATTAAAAATGTGAAAAGAGAAATTAGAACTCAAAATAATATTAGTATGATTACTTATATTATTAATTAAAATGAAACTTTTGAAGGAAATTGATTATCAAACCATTGAGAGTATATAGAAATTTAAGCTTCTGCGATAGAGTTTTTCACAATTATTTTTTATCATAATAATGTGCTCTCCCTTCCCATCTTGCCAATGGAAATATGAAGCATAATCTAAAAGAGTAGTTATGAAGTTTGGTGGTAATGATGTTAAGAGTTATGAGGTTTGGTGGAAGAGTAAAACGAATGAGAGAGATAAAGTTATGAGTGGGTAAAATTGGAACTTGAAAAATTGGAAAAAAAAATTAGCTAATAAAAATAAATCAATCCATGAGTTTGGAGATTCTAGTTTTGGCTTATTTTTCAAAAAAATGAGTTTATAACTTCATTTGATTGTCAAACATACATATTTTATATTTTCAGCTTATTTTTTAAATAATAAGCATAACCTAAAATAAAAATCAATCTCAAACATGTTATAAGTCTCTAACTTTTGGATTTAGTATTTTCATAAAGTTTTTTTCCAATGTTTTAGGAATATTTAATTTCTTATCAAAATATCATTATTTCATTAATTGATTAAAAATAAAAATATTTTAATTAATTGAGTGAAAATAAATATAATGAGTTTCATAATTATGACCAAGTTTATAAAATTACGTATATTTAATCTCGTATATAAAATTAGTTTGATTAATTAATGTTTGGGAATATAAGTCAAATGAGCAAAAAAGGAACATTTGTAATTAATACTTATTTCCTAATGAGAAACAAAATGAAAATAATAATAAAGTGACAACGAAAATGCAACTAAGTGTGTATTTGGTATGAATTATATCTTTAGTTTCAGTTTATAAACTAAGATATTATAATCTGTTAAGATTATATATGTTTTGACATCTTAGTTGAAAACTAAATATAAACTAATCTGTTTTGTTTGAGTAAGGTAAAAAAATTATTTTTTACATAGCAAAGTACATACAAAAGTGGTTACATAAAATTGTTTAATTTTTTTTGCATGGGTAATTGTTAATCGACTATTGAGAAACCAATATACGTAATATGATTATAACTTGGGAAAAATATATTTTAAATATTTTCTGCTTAAATTAGTTGAGTGGTTACAGTTTGCGGTCCATTTGGATCAGTTTTTAAGTAAAAACTCGATTCGAATATGTAATTAACAAGCGTTCGAGTCCGGTCTAGTCTATTCAAATTAAAATGTCTGATCCAAATATTATATGCGATTTCGGTTTGGTTTGGATCAGATTTTTTATAAATAATTAAATTGTACATACACTCAAATACTAGAGTTCAAGAAAAAAATAAGATATTATATAGATGTCAAGACACAAAATTAAATTGAAAGGAGAAATCAATAATTAAACTTTATGGAGGACCTTAACTACCTAACTTAAAAGCATCCACAAAGAAACCTAAACATATACTAACATCAAGGTAGTCAAATAATCAAATCAAATGAAACAATTTCATGTGAAGTAATGTTTTTTTTCTAACAACCATTATCATGCAACATTGATATATTTTATGGGAATGAATGAGAAATATATGTAAATATTGTTGTCTCAAAAAGTGACAAAATAATAAGCATAAAACAATGAGAAAATTTACTTAAAAGGGTTACAATTAACCAATTTTGGTCCGATCTGGATTGTTCTGGATCTAAGAGGTGAAACCGAAAACCGGACACGATCGACCGATCTTTAAAAAATAAATCCAATATGATCCAAGCACATTCTGTTTTTGCGGTTTCGGTCTATTTTGGATCGGTTTTCGGTTTTCTTTTTGGACCGGTCTGAATTTGAACCCCCTAGTATTAATTAAAATGAAATTATTTAAGAAAATTGATTATCAAATCATTGAGAAGATATGAAATTTTTAAGGTTCTATCACAAAGTTCTTCATAATTTTGTTTAGCATAATGTGATCTCCCTTAACAATGTGAAGAGTTATGGTGTTTGGTGAAAGAGTAAAAATGATGAAAGAGATAAAATTATGATGTGGTAAAAAGGGAAGTGAAAAAATTGTAAAAAATAAGCTAATAAAATATAAACAAATCCAAGATTTTAGAACTTCTACTTTTAACTTATTTTTTCTAAAAAAAACTAAGAATTATAAAATTTCATATGATTGCCAAATATACATATTTAATATTTTCAGATTATTTTCCAAAAATAAATCTAATCTAAAAAATAATAATCAATCTCTAACTTTTGGATTTACTATTTTCATAAAATAAAAAAATCATAGTTTTATTTGAAAAGTTGATTTTCTTACCCAAAATATCACCATTTCATTACTTGATTAGAAATAAAAGTATTTTAGTTAATTGAGTGGAAAGAAATTTACATATACATATATAATATTATATTATAGGTTAATCTATTAATACTTCTATAAATATTTATTAAATATTCAAGTAATAAACTACCATTGTACAAATATACGAGGAATGTCTGGTTTGATACACAATATAAAGGAAAAAAAATATATCTATACACAATATAAAATTTGTATATACTTTTAGTCCATCATCCATTATTTATTTTTAATTATTATTGATGCTTTAAAAAATAAAGAAATAAATAGTTTATGATGTGTATAAATTTTTACATTGACGGTACATAAATATTACACTCATATTAATAATAATTAATACATTTTAATTTTCCACAAATATATTTCTGTTAGAAAAAAACCCAAAATCATTTTGTTCTATGTTGGAAAGTGTCTAAAGGTTAAATTAATAAATGACACTAATCTAATATTAAGAAAAAAAAAAAACATATATCAATTAAATATTGACAAATTACTCATATAATTTCCATATCTAATCTAATAAATTAAATTTGATTTGATTTTCCCAAAAGAAAAATATCAATTTCCAGGCCTATAAATTAGGAACGTACTCTCAGCCTCAAAACACAACAAACTATTTGGAAAAAAATGAAGATTAATATGTTGGCAATGTTTTTTTTGATTGTGTTTGTTCTAATTACAGTTTCAAGTGCAGAAGATTCGGAAGCTGATTGTATTTATAAGTGTCGTCAAGAATGTGCCGGGGCACGTTTTATTTGCAATCAAGAATGTTTGCAAAAATGTCATCACCTTTATCTCAATGATCAAGATCATTGTATTGGTTGTGTTCATTCTATGAACTCAAATTCAATTCATGGTATGTTTAATTTACATCACTTTATTATATATATGTAGTGATAGAAATTGTTTGTGGGTAATGTCATTAGCTTTATAATTTGTCTATCTATATTTGTTTAAGCTATATTCGCATATATTTAACAACATTGTGCTAGGAAATTCTGTTGAATGACCATTGTTAAACGTGAATTCTAGTACAGTGAACATATAGTCTTAATTTAACCAATGTAAAGTTATGATTAATATATGTGATTTTATTATTAATATGACCCAAATATATAAACTCTGATATTTTTTTGTATTTTTTTGTTTTGTTTTAGATGCTGATCAGGAAAAAAGGAATTGAGATATTTGTTGCTGCAATAATTATACAAAGGCCTATATTTCACGCTTTTTAATTACTAAGTTATTATTAAAATAATGAGTTTTATTTGCTGCCAAAAAATGTGTTTTGTTTATTGCTACTGGTGTAGTAAGGTAAACAATAAATAAATGTTAATTTAATATATTACTTCTTTTGAAATTTAGATGTGATATTCATCTAAACCTGTTATTTTCCTTCTTGATGCAATAGAGTATTAAACGTAAGGAACAAAACATAATATATTTTAAATTTAATATAATGTTCTACCTACACACCTATCTATATTCAAACATTTCAGTCACTATTGGGTGAAACGAGACCATTATTACATTGGGCGATGATCAGATTGTTTGGTTCGATCATAATATAATTGTTGTCAACTAGTAGTATACTCATGCGTAATTTGAAATGATAAAATTAAATGACATGCATAATTTTATTTGAGAAAAGAAAACAAAATATTAACTTATGGTAAAAATTAAAATGAGTGACAAAAGGGAAATAAAATATTATAAAAGTTTTAACCATGAGTTCTTGAGTTTGTGAAAAATTTACATATGAAAAATTTCACACTTAAAAGTTGTAAGGAATATAAGCAAAATGGTAACTAGTGATAAAAAATAAGATGTAGACGAGTAGCCGAATAAAGAAAAATTGTTATAAAAGTCTTACTCATGAGAAAGTAAAAGTATCTTTGAGTATGAGATTTGATAAAATTGGAGAAAGAAAGATAATGATGTAAGAGATTGAAGATCGACAGAAAAAGGAAAAATATGTGGATGAAATATGAAAAGAATGAGGAAATTCTTTATAACTAATTAATAAGAATATGATTATTAGAATCTTATCCAGTAAGTTTAATATAAATGTGTAAATAAAAGAAAATCTAATAAATTTAATTAATATGTTAGGTAAAAACTCTCAAACATTTGAGAGATTCATTTACTCTAAGAGAAAGTTTTTTAAACTACTCCACTTCTTAGACATCAATTCTAGGGAAATCCAATGGTTTAGATCTACTCGTTAATTTAAATAATAGAAAAAAACTTAGTCCTGTAGTAAGTGAACCCCTCCCTTTAAACAAAGATGAAAAAGAAGTGGAACATACTTTTTCAAACAAATGCCAAAATATGAATGAAGTGGTTGGTGTGATAGTGTATATGGAGAAAGTTGGACCAATAATATACCTTAAAACTATTAGATATATGCAAAATGTCCAAAATAACTACAAATGAAAATAATTACATACCAAATATAATGACCAAAATAATTACATGGTCATATATATAAGGCTAAAGATGGAAAAATATTTCATTTTTAAATAAAGAAGTAGAGTGAGTAATATAAAAATGTTTATTTCTTCAAATATCCATAAAAGATGATCTTGACATATCTATGTAGGTTAATGAACATAATGTCAAGAAAATTGTATGTGATACATGATAGTACTCATTGTAACATTGAATGTAAATATGCAAATATAATCATATTTGATAGGAATATGATTAAAAGAATCAACTCCAATAAATTCAATAAGAATACTTTGAACCTATTAGTTTCCAAAATAACTACAAAGGGAAATAATAACATACCAAAAATAATAATTACATGGTCACATAAGGTTGAACATGAAACAATATTTCATTTTCAAATGAAAAAGGTAGAGTGAGTGATATAAAAACACAATCTTCAATCCTACAAAATTTGATTAGTTTGATTCTTGTGAGTAATCCTTATTAGGAGGTGTAGTCACACACCCTAAAAGATATTAATTTCTTACCAAAAGGGTGAAGGATATTCTTGGTAGTTATGAACACCCAATTTTGTCCGGCCCAAATTAACTTGTAATGATAAAAATAAAATAATAAACATGCTTCATGAATAATTATTGGCCTAATAATGGTCAAATATTACATTTTTATATTATTATTTTTTGAAACAAATTCTAAATGAGTGTTAAGTGACTTGATGAACACTTACTATGAAAATGTTCCATTTCGAAATAAAACATATGTCAGTTTTCCAATAATTTCGTTTTCCACATTTAAATAAAAATAAAAAGGGTGTTTGAAATACTATTTGAGATTCTATGGAAAATCTAATAATTATTATTATCTATTTAAAGGTAATGTAATAATTTTAATTCTATAAAGTCATTGTGGTGTTTCTGCCTAAACTTGTGATTTCTGAATATCAGTATATTTTAAAGGGTCAAATAATTATTTTTATACTCACTCTTGAGCATTAGAATAATTTTATGACCCTATAAAAATTGTTGTGACATCATTATATTAAAAAGAGATATTTTCTATAAGTACATGCGAATAAAAAATTGCCTAATTGAAATTTTTATATTTAAGATAATAAATAAAATCGAATTACTAATTAATAAGATGTATTAAATTTTTAAAATTAAAATTTCAAATCATAATGATATAAACCAAATTTTTTATTATAAATTTATGACACATTTGATTTTTTCCTTAATCTCATCTAAAGAATTATTTAGGAGATTATATTTGATTTAGAGATGTGCTAAAATACCTAGCCTATAAATAAAATGATTCACTCACCTAAAAAATCAGGTTTCTCTTTAGTATCTCCCTCAAATTAATTAGGAGATTGCATTAGATTTAAACATGTGCTAAAATATCTAGCCAATAAATAGAACGATTCACTCACCTAAATAAAAAATCAGGTTTCTCTTTATTCTCTCCCTCGAATTAATTATGAAATTGCATTGGATTTAAACATGTGCTAAAATTTATAGCCTATAAATAGAATGTTTCATTTACAAAAAAGGAAGATCTTCTTTTCATTTCAACTTCAATTCCCTCTCTCTAAAAAAGTCATCTCAACCTCTCAATGTCACTTCATCTCCTACAATTTAAACAAAACATTCATCTTCTTCCTCCTAACATTATACACAAAAATATATTAGAAAACAATCTACAATACCAAAACACAGAAATATATATCAAAATTTCTACCATTCATCTCTGAAATATTTTAATCCTAATTAAGGTATGTTGCAGTGACAGACCTTTGGGCTGCACTTCACTTTCTTAAAATTTATGAATAATTGCTACCATATTCGTTTATTAAATCTATTATAAAAAATGAAAAGGTAAATACACCAACATTTTTTAATAAATTTAAATATCTTTTAAACAAAGAGGGAATGAATATCTTAACTATTCTTTAATATGAGATGTGGTATCGGACAGGGTTGTATTTCAATCATTTTAATATAAAATTAGTTAAGACTAAACATCACATTTTCTAAAATAATAATAAAAATAACTCAACCAACAAATCTTTTTCTACCTAAAGAACTACATATCCTTGATTCCCTTAATAGGGATACGTAGAAGCAAGGTCTTAAGGCGCAACAAAAATAAATAAAATTTTGTTTCTTTTTGAATAATTAGTTAAATAATTAAATAAATTTAAAGTATAAAGTAAGCCATGAAATTTAGTGAGGGGTACCATTTAAAATGGATGAATAGGGTGCTAATATATTTACTAGTCCGTAACCGACTCCCTAACCTGGATATCAAAAATCCAAAGCCCGATATAATTGGGTAAAATATTTTTCTACATTTTTTACTATAAAATGTAGTGACGACTCTAGTAAAGTCGTGCGGCCGAAAATCGGTCGGGACAATATTAAAAAAAAAACTAAAACATAGCACATCTTAATTCCTATAAAATAAGATAAGTTGAATAAATCTAATTAGTAGAAAATTGTCTAATTTTTTTAAATAACATCAAAACACAATCACTAACATTAATAAACTATCTACTTAATCACCCAATTCATCGGCAAATTAGCAAAAGCTCTCTTTAATTTGTTAAAAAAATGACAAAAAACCATAAAATACAACAGGTCTATTCCAAGGAGTATAAATGAATAACCCCAAGTGGAATATTTGAAGCTTATTTGTTTAAAAACATGAAAATTATATTTTTTTGTTTTATCTTATAAATAATTTATCTTAACAATTATCTCATGGTGGAGTGCATAGATGTGAAAACTGGATAGTATTATACCGATTATTATCCTCACACTAGTACGATACAATAATTATACCGATTATTTAATTATATATGTCAAAATCAATTATAACTAGTTAAAACCTATCACATTGACCATTTTTTATTTAAACTGTCTCATTTAAAATTATAATTTTATATGGAAGTCACTTAATTTTTATCAAATAAAATAATATTATGGAAGATTTAATACATAACAACTAAACATGTTACAAGCAAACTATTGGATGGTTGGTTCAAATATTTTTCTCATTAATTTACAAATAAAGTCGTATAATGCTTGTTACACATTATAAACAAAGCACATCATCAGCATGTGTTACAATATAAATAAATATGTACACATTAACATCACTGCTAACTTGCAAATATAAAAATACAACTTTGGTATCGTAAATAAATATAGAGTAAGGAGTTGTTGCATTCACAAGGACTTGCTAGATAATAGTCTTTCAATCAAAAATTATTATTTTAAGTTAGGATTAAAATGGTTGTTTGACTGGTGATAGAGTAAATCAAATTGTATTAAAATGAGTTGGGATTAAAGTTCACACTCATTCTCAGTTTCCACTTGATTCGTCATTTCATACAATTTAGAATGACCAATCCATATAAATATCTCAATATGACTAACTGATAATGTCTTAGTCAGTTAGCCAGTTATGCAAGAAATGCCTATATCTAGTGACTTTGATACATAAGAATAAGAAATATGAATTACAAAATCATGTCCACATGTCTAGTGATGCAAGTATGTAAGTTGAGTAAAAACGCAACACCTCAATTGTGTTAGCCACCAATATCTTGATCTATACTAATACTCATCATAAGTAGATCTATGTCTAGTAACTACAATGATAAAATTCAACTTTAAGAACCTTCAAGCACATCTTTATGTCTAGTAACATATGCTATCTAATTTGAGAGTTTTAAAATCACAATATTAGTTCTATGTCTAGATACCAAAAAGTGAAGTACATGAAATAGCAAATAATGCAAGTCTATGTCTAGCA